ACAGGTTGGTTGTTAAGGTTACGGGTTTATTGTTAAGGTTATGGGTTTGTTGTGTAGGTTACGGATTTGTTGTTAAGGTTACGGGCTTAATTGTTAAGGTTACGGGTTTAATTGTTAAGGTTACGGGTTTAATTGTTACGGTTACGGTTTATTAATTGTTAATGTTATGAGTTTAATTGTTAAGGTTACGGGTTTAATTAAGGTTATGAGTTTAATTGTTAAAGTTACGGGTTTAATTAAGGTTATGAGTTTAATTGTTACGATTACGAGTTTAATTGTTAAGGTTACGGGTTTAATTGTTAAGGTTACGGGTCAATTGTTAAGGTTATGGATCCATTCTCTCTCTCCCTCGTAACCTTAACAATTAAACCCGTAACCTTAACAATTAAACCGTAACATTAACAATTAAACCGGTAACCTTAACAATTAAACCCATAACCTTAACAATTAAACCGTAACCGTAACCTTAATAATTAAACCGTAACCTTAACAATTAAACCCGTAACATTAACAATTAAAACGTAACCGTAATAATTAAACCCGTAACCTTAACAATTAAAACCTTAATCTTAACAATTAAACCCGTAACCTTAACAATTAAACCGTAACCTTAACAATTAATAAACCGTAACCTTAACAATTAAACCTGTAACCTTAACAATTAAACACATAACCTTAACAATTAAACCCGTAACTTAACAATTAAGCCCGTAACCTTAATAACAAATCCGTAACCTACACAACAAACCCATATCTTTAACAACAAACTCTTAACCTTAACAACCAACCCGTAACCTTAACAATCAATGCATAACCTTTACAACCAACCATTATCCTTAACAACGAATATTCTAAAAATACAAAAAGAATAAAAAATAAAAATAATAAAATAATAATTCTCTTTAATCATTTCAATATCATCAAAGAAACATCATGATTAAGAGAGAGAGAGAGAGAGAGAGAGAGAGAGAGAGAGAGAGGATTCATAACCTTAACAATTGACCCGTAACATTAACAATTAATTCGTAACCTTAACAATTAACCTGTAACTTTAACAATCTCCCAATACAAATAACTAAAATAATAAAAAATAAAAATAATAAAATAATCATCATCAATCATTTCAACTATTATCTTAATACTTCATGATAAAAAGAAAGAGAAAACAAAAATAATAAAATAATCTTCATCATATTTTAATAAAAAAATGAGAGAGAGAGGATTCATAACCTTAATAATTGACCCGTAACATTAACAATTAATTCGTAACCTTAACAATTAACCCGTAACTTTAACAATCTCCCAATACAAATAACTAAAATAATAAAAAATAAAAATAATAAAATAATCATCATCAATCATTTCAACTATCATCTTAGTATATCATAATAAAGAGAGAGAGAGAAAACAAAAATAATAAAATAATTCTCATTATATTTTTAATAAAAAAAGAAAGAGAGAGAGAGAAGGAGAGAGAGGATTCATAACCTTAATAATTGACCCGTAACATTAACAATTAATTCGTAACCTTAACAATTAACCCGTAACTTTAACAATCTCCCAATACAAACAACCAAAATAATAAAAAACAAAAATAATAAAATAATCCTCATCAATCATTTCAACTATCATCTCAATAATTCATGATAAAGAGAGAGAAAACGAAAATAATAAAATAATGCTCATCATATTTCAATAAAAAAAGAAAGAGAAAGAGAAGGGTATTATAGTCTTCACATATTTTAATGTCTTGGGTTTTGTGTTTTGGGGGTTCAGAGAACATAATCTTTATTTATGGGGGTAAAACACCCGTTGACAAAATCTTGGGGGTGGGAAGCACGTTTTCTTAGCTTTTGGGGGCTAGAAGCATTTTTCCCTTTAAAATAAAGTTATAACGGATGTAGTAAAAAATTTAACAAAAATTAAGAATTAAAACATTTTAAAATTAGTATGTGAATGTCACATGGAGATATTTGGGAGAATATTCTCACCTTGGCATAATATAGTAAAATGCAAATTTTAAAAACTTCAGTATATCGTTGCTACCAAAAACAAGTGAGGGCAATAAGTGCTACGTATGAGAAACTATTTGGTACTTAATTGGTGATATGCAAATCCACCAACCCAAATACAGACAATGAAATGATACAACGAATCAGGTAAACCCAAGTACTGACAATGAAATGATACGAGGCAAAGATGTAATCGAATCAGGTACAAACAGACAATAAACTTGAAAAGTCAGGGTGCAACATGCAAAATTCCAGCAGTAAAAGAGACTAAAAAAAATCACGTACCGGGCAAGAAGAAGAGCAGCGGAGGAGCCTCCACGTCACGTGACAACCCGCACTCCGCCGGCGAGAACCACCTCGGCGGTCCTCCATCAGGCCGGATCAAATCCCTAGACCACTCAATGAAGTCCATCACGCCACGTGGCTCGATCTTC